GCAACGGAAGCTGTCGCATTTGAGCACAATCAAAGCGATGAGCATAATAGTCAGAGCAATAAGCGGCAGTGCAACAACGTTAAGCAGCAAATTACATTGTCGTTGAATTTGTCCGACAGCAGCAGCAACAGCAACAGCAACAACAACAACAACAACAACGATGAGCAACAGCAACAGGACATGCAACGTCAAGTTCCCAGCACGCCACAAACACCCAACACACCCATTACACCCACAACACCCTCAGCAGCAACAGCAGCAACAGCAGCAACGGCAACAACACCCACAACAACTACAGCAATCGGCGCAATGCACAGCAGCAGCAACATGCCACAAAAGCCCATCAAAGTGCAATCGGACAAGGACTGCACCGTGCCCTATAACATTATCAACAATTATTTCTCCGTTGGCGTGGTGAGTACAATTTAGCCCGACACAAGCCCCGTTCAGGCTTCCTGTTTTGTGCGCTTGTAAATCAGTCAACAATTCTGTTAGAGCCGCATTTAGTGCGGCGGCTAATGTCCTGTCATGAACAGATCTCGTTGCAGTGTCAGAGAACAGCACGACAGCAAATACAACTGGGCATTGCCTGTTTATTGTATACCCTTGCTGAGAAAGTCGTACAGTATGAGTTCTCGAAGTTCTCGAACAAGATGTACAATCTGTCGATAGTGAATAGGTTTATAAGAAAGGACCTTTATCTGAATAAATATATAAAGATATAACTTTTTGGCAAAGGGTATTCAAACTGCGGCTATGCGCTCAAAACTGTACTTCATTGTTTTTCCAGCATTTTCATTGTTGAAGGGCAAATTGTCACTGAACAAGAACTTTGCATTTGACAGAGCGCATTTAGTTTTTTTTTTTCTTTTTGATTCTGCATTCAAGGGATTTTGAATGCTTTATTTGGGATTTCGCTTGTTTAAGCATAACCCAAAGACTTTCACATTATTAAAGCAGCTAAGATCCGCTCAATTATGCTGATTCAACAACTTTATATAATCCGCCGAAAAAATCACAAAGAGAATAAACAGAGAAACTCAGCTCTCAAATAAAGGCAATATAGTCTCCTCAATAATTCATATAGTTATTCATTTACTTAATCATTTATTCAGCATTTCTGAAGTGGCGCACATTTTCGCCCTCTGTGGTGTCGGGGCAAATGCAGCACACAAATGAAAGGTTGGAAAAGCGCAGCTCTTTCTAATGCAAATTTCCGCGCGAATCGCTTGGAGTAAAACTTAAAAGCCGCGCGGTTGAAATGAAACGAAACCCAACTCAAACAATGGCGCTGCAATAAAGCAAGCATAGAACTAGAGAAATTGTGTTAGTCTAACGCATACCCTATAGCTATTTTAGTAGCCCAATTCACCTAACGAAACATACGCCTCTTATGCGCCCTGTTTACAGGGTATAACAAATCGCGCCAGGCAACAAAAATTTCCATATTCTCAACCAGGCGGGTTAGACCCAATTGCAAAAGTGTTTCACAAACACATGCAAAGTGCCCAATTGCGAATGTGGCCAAAGTTGATTGCCAAACACACACACAGAGAGAGAGAGAGAGAGAGCAGAAACACCAAATAGCTGGCGAGTTAAGCACACAATCACAATCAGAGGCTCATTTGCATCATAAATGCATCGATGCATTTGGGACTCGCACAGCACAACAATCATTAGCACACGTACCAAACTCAAAGGACTCTAAATGCGAACACGTTAGCCACGAGCCCAAATATTGGGCTAAAGGTCTAATGCTGGTTAGGGTTGCAGTCCTCACTAAATGAGCTGACCAAGTGACTTAATCAATCAGCCAACTGCAAAGAAAAGCGCTGGTTCGAATCCTAGACTAGTGTATGTATTGTGTATTAGTGTGTCGCCAAAAGTTGATAGTTTCTAGCAATGTCTTATACTACAACTTCTAGGTAAGGTTTCTACATTATTCAGATAACTAACAAGAGAAAACGCTGATTCAAATCCCAGCCCAATGTAGTAGCATAGACAAAGGCCCACATATTTTTAAATAGGTTAGGTGGATAGCTTTTAGGCTTAATACATAGCTATCGCATTTTCTTGGTAAAATTTTTATGGCATTCAGTTAACTGACAAGAAAAAATGCTGGTTCGAATCCCAAACTAGTGCACAGAAGCGCAGCAATGAATAAGCCAACTGCCTTCGTAACCATACTTTATCAATATGTGCTATATTGCAATTTCTAGGTAAAGGTTTTTGTAGCATTTAGTAACAGGCAAGGGAAAATGCTGGTTCAAATCGCAGGCTAGTGTATGGATGTGTTGTATTATCTAATTCAAGAGCCAAGTAGCCAATTTTCTTAAACAAATTAAATTCTAGCTTAAGTTTCTGTGAAAACAACTGAAAAGGGAATATGCTGGTTCAAAAATCAGGCTAATGTTGGGGATACCTATATATATTTTCTAAGCCCATGGCCAAAGCTTCAAGGTTTTCTAACAAAGATTAGTTGAAATCCCAAGCGTAGTATTGTTTTACGCGAAGGAAGGTTCAATTATGAAAGTAAGGTGGATAGTTTACAGCTAAGAAGCAAGAACAGCTCACAACCCGGAGATCTAAATGAGACAGTTCAGATTGATTTGTAATTGTTAAGTATACGTAAAAGTCATAGCATGAGACTAGAAAATAGTTACAGAATAATTCTAAGATTATCTCATTTTTCTACTACTTTGCTGCAATACTGCAGAAATCCATTGTAGTAGAATAATAGTCTATAAACATACAAGGCCCAACGGAGCTCCATTTGGAGCCTAATGACTACAAACGGTAAATTCTAAGGGTCAGTTGTGACCATTAACAGATGCGCCAGCTATGCACTATTTAAATTAATGAGCGACAGTCCGAAGGCACTTGCTCTAATTACAATTGCCGACAACTGTTCCTTAAAGAGGGACAACAGGCAACATATTGCGCCCCAGGGACAATTTGACAGAGGCTGCCCCAAAAATAAAACACGCCCAACACAACACACACACGGCAAGGCAATAAATTCAAATGAGTGCGAGAATCTGTATCAGATGGCGAAAGGATGTAACTCGCCAACTTTTATTTTGGCTAAAGGCTTTTGAATAATTTAACACGAACCGGAGATGAAGATAGTCTGTGCCAGGTTCCGGGACCGAAAGTGGAAATCAAAGGCGCCATTTCTTTTTTTTTTTTTGGGAGGGCGAAATGTGTGCGACTAAGTAGCTGGCAAAGATTTAATGCGGTCATAAAGAAAGGTTAAGTGGCAAATTCGCAGGCAGCCGACCAGGACAGGACAGAACAGGTCCTGTGAAAAACCACGAAAAAAAAAGCCAAGCGAAATGGGAAAACGGGTGGGCGACAAAATACTATAGAAATGGCAACTACTAAAACGGATATGTTGTACAAATCAGCAAGGCGCAATGCGAATCGTGTCCTGCGTCTAATCAAAATGGAAACACGCCCACAAGGGAGCATGCCACTTGGCAGGGTTCACACCGAGCCGAGGTCCTGCGATAGTGTTTACTGATTTTATTTGTGTGTGTGTGTGTGTAGGGGGGGGGCGTGTGTGTATTTTGTAATGCTGCACCATTTGTCAAGTGCGGCTAAAGTTGAAATCCTTTTTGCGCAAACATTTCAGCACACTGCGCACCCCTCCCTTTGCCCACTAACCCCCTCCCTCTCCCAACCCCCCCACAGACGTAACTGAATATCAGCCTAATACACAATTGCAGGCCATGCGATTAAGATTCCCGAAAAAAAAACGTAGAAGAGAAAATCCTTGCCTAAATAAAAATACTACAAAAAGATGCCATCAAATGTTGTGTCTGCTGTTGTGCGTGTGTGTGTGGGTGTGTGTGTGTGGGTGTGTGTGTGTGGGTGTCTGTCGCTGTATGTGGCTTTTAGTTTATTTATGACCTGATGTGCGTATGTTTAAACTGTGGGTGTCTACAGCAAACTGTCGACGATTTTGTTGTTATGTTTATATATCCTTTGAAATAGATTCATGCGAGGGGCATGCATGGCAAGCGAAATTGGAAGAAATTGAGACATTCATAGACTAAGACTCGGCCCAGTTCTTACTAATTGACAGAATATATCGTTGAATATAATTAAAATTCAGTTACTGCTGCTAATCTCTTTTTATTTAATGTAATTTGCCCTAACCCCGTAGAGGAACTCTAATGAGTCCTTCATCTATTCAGGTCCATGTCTACAGGGTATTCTTATGTCTCTTGTTCCCCTTTACAGAACCTGCATGAGTGCATGTCAGATAGGTCTTTCGCCTAATTTCAAACTTTATGGGTTCGATAAGTCCTAAGAAGCGGCTGCTATCGAAATCGGCAAACCTTCTACCTTACTTTTCCCTACAATCTCGGTCTATGGTGTTTTCAGTTCCTGCTTTTCCGAAATCCTGACTAGCTACAAAGGCGGAGTACCTTGAAGTATATAAAACTGTTTATACTTTTTTACACGAAAAATAGTACCCTCAAATATCCTATATAGATATAGTTTAAAATTGCTTAACCCCATAACTCGTGTGTAAATTTTAAATTAATTGTGAAAATCAATTTGGCATCTAAATCTGGCAACATTATTTTCAAATCGGTCCCAAACCATAATATTATATTAAAAGTGTTTCACACTTTTCGGAAAATCCACTACTTCTTGTGGAAAATGGAGGTCAGAGATTTGCTGGTTGAACTTTCAGGTTTAGATACATTTCCCAAGGATCTTTATGAAAAATTATTTAAGTCGCGTTTAAACTTATTTGCAAAAATTTACGTAAAATATAAGTTAAGACGTTGATTTCAAGATAGTACGGGTGGATTGGTATTTAAAACGGGCGGGAAATGGGTGAAAAAGTCATATCAACAATTGGAAGCACAAAATATGCCACGAGTAGGGCCGAAAACTACCCACCAACTATATATAGATTAATAGCTTGAATGGACTCGTAAATACGTGCATTCTTAATTTTAAATAATAATTGGCTTGGCACTTACAGGGTATTCCGCTAGTCGTTTCCTTTACGTTCTATTGTATTGTTATTATTGTGCGTGTCGTTGCCGCTGGGATTTCGCTTGTCGGCTTCATTTTGCACTGCCTCCGCTTGGCCAATCCGTTTGGCACTCACGCGGCATGTCTCCGCCCTGGGCCTAGCATCTCAAGGAGTCTCAAACTTGTCATATGTGCGCATGTATGCCATATGATATGCTGGCTCAAGTGCCAAGCAGTTGGCCCGCTTTTCCAGCTTAAAGCTTGAGTGAACTGTGGGCGGCAGACGGGCGGGTGTGGGCCGCGGGTAATGCGGCATGAAAAAGTATTTCACACTGACGCTTTGGTTTAACGTCAACAATTGACGTTAAGCGCGAACTTGTGCGTTGTTGATGAAAATGCCAACGAGAAGCAACAGCAACAGCAGCATGGGGCAAGTTGAGTGTTTGTGCGGCGGGGTCGTCGAGGCAGTGGGGCGAGCGGGTCAAGGGGCGAAATTGTGTGCGTTGCGCTTTTAGCCCGAATACGGGAAGCTCAAAATTCCAGGCAACAGAAGCCTCCTCTTGTTATATACTCGCATTTTTATGGCATTAAATGTGCCTTTTATGCGTGCCCCGATAAAGCTGTCTCTGTCACTTTCCCTCCTCTCTCTTCGTATCACAGCATTGTGTCCTTAAGGTGCCATTTTATATGACAGGTACTTCTGGCCAACAAATTTCATAGCCCACATACGGCACACGTCCATTGTGAAGTTGTCAAGCCGTTTGTGTCGGGCTAACAGGCCAATAAGTCGTTGTCAGCTAATTATTTAGGGCCTTATGCATTGGCATTAGCAACTGCATTAGCATCAGCATTAGCATTAGCATCAATATCATTATCATTTTAAGGTAGTTGACACTTTGGGTCGTCTTTTAAATTAAAAGCTTTCCTCTGCCCATCTGCACCTCGCTCGCTGCTTGATAATTCAATTTGCGCCTGGGCTGTAATTAATCTTATTTACTTTGTGCGAGCGACAACCACAATTTAGACGAAAATGCCAAAGTGGGTAGCAGACCACATGCATGGTTTCCACTCCTCCGCCTCTCCGCTCCTGCTCCCTTGCTTGCTTCTCCTCCTAGGTTTACCTTTTGGCGTGCTGACGTGCATAATAAATGCGCCTACAAATGTGCAACGTGTCGTATGAGCAACCAAACTGGGACAGCCGCCCCTGTCACCTGCCACCTGCCACCTTCCCACATTGCTTACTAGAGAGGAGCGCGTGCTTAGTTTTGCGGCACGACAAACTTGTGCTTTTTTCGTGAGAGTCCAAGCCTCAACTGATAAGCACGATATATAAAGGCAAGATAAAGCACGAAAGGACATGATGATGCACGAGAGATAACGGATTATATCTGAATATACCAGATCACGTTTTATCGATATCACGAACTAACGATCTATAAATTGACCGAAATCCAATCAAATGGGTTGTTAAATCAAGTGTCTCGACAAAAAGCTTAAGAATCTGTGCGTGCTCGTGCCTTTTTTTTCGGTGCATGTTGCGTGCTCGTGCCTCGATAACTAAGCACGCGCCCATCTCTATTACTTACCTCTTGGCCAACTCCTGACGCCGCCATCAACAGCTCCAGCTATTTCACTTGCTAGCCGAATATGCATAAAAATTAAAATGCTGCCAGGAGCTTCGTGTCCTCCTATCTGTAGATGGGGCGTGATTCACATGGCTGATGACATCACGGTCGAGATAGGGCCAATTTGTCGCTATATACGTATATACATCGCACTCTATACATATTTGCCTCTGCATATCACATGTAGCTCTGTGCACAAAGTCAAGGTTTCGCTACGTGACCAAAAATGCAATTCGTTTAAAAATTTCTGCAAGCACTGATTGAGTTGATTATTTTGCCAACCGCAGGATGCCGCCATTTGTGTCAAGTTTCATTTGGAGCGCGAGAAAAATCCGCATAAATTCAACAGCCGCATGAAGAATAAACTTTGGTATTTCGAATATGCAACGTCCGAGACATTTGCCGCCTCCTGCAAGAACCTGCACGAGAATATCGAGATTGTGGTAAGTGTCCCATTGAATTAGGCAAACAAAATTATGCAAGAAACTTACCAATTTGCTTGCGTTGCAGTGCGATGGCGTTGCCTTGGACCTGGCCAATGGGCCGCACTTACAGGGCGTCGCCCTGCTCAATATACCCTATACACATGGCGGCTCCAACTTGTGGGGCGAGCACTTGTCCCAGAAGCGCATACGCAAGAGTGCGGGACCATTTGGCAAGAGTAAGAAGCTCAAGTCCAGCGATAAGGAGTTTTCAGCGACCAGCTTTAATTCGGTGGATCTATCCGTGGCCATACAGGGTATGTGAGGGTATTCCAAAGACTTGGCTACAGATAGAACAACAGAGTATTTCATCTCGACAGATTTTGGGGATCGTCTGATCGAGGTAATTGGCCTAGAGAATTGCCTGCACATGGGTCAAGTGCGAACGGGTCTGCGTGCTTCCGGTCGCCGATTGGCTCAGTGCAGCGAGGTCATCATCAAGACCAAGAAAACATTTCCCATGCAAATCGACGGCGAGCCCTGGATGCAAATGCCATGCACGGTGAGTAGATACATTCATTTGCATCAAACTTGAATATTGAGTATCCAGCTAAGCTGTGTTTGAACGAGTCACCAGTAACATCAGCAACATGTTCGAGCAAACATGTTGTGGCTAATGCAACTGCAACTCGAACGCCGCTTGAGTCTTGACTCGTTCGAACGACACATTTGTTTGGGTATTTGAAAAGCGTTTGGGTTCACTCGATGGGGGCCTAAAATATTCAATATTGATATATAATTTATATTTTTATATAGATAAAGGTTACGCACAAGAATCAAGTTCCTATGTTGATGGCGCCGCGTTCGGAGAAAGGACGTGGATTTTTCAATATGCTCTGCAGCTGATTCAGGCGCAGCGCATCGAGCGACTTCATTGGCCGGCGACAGGTCTTGGAGTCAGCCGATGAGCTGGAAGATGATTATCGTATTGTAACCAGAAGCACCACCGTCCATAATTTACCTTAGCAAGCATAAGTAGCTAAAAAGTGTTATCCCACAGGCTTATACAACCAGTTCGCTTAGTTTTAAATAGAATCTATAGTAGCCAGTTTTGTCAGTTCAGCTAAATTATAGCTAAATTTGGTTCTTTTAAGTTGTGAGCCAAAAACATTTGAAATTTTTAGCTGATATTAGCTGTTTTTTTTTTTTACTATTTTTGCAGAGCAAACAAATTCAGCTATGTTTTTGTTGCTATTTTTAACACTGGATTGAGCTACTTTTTGTCACTGACAACACTGGCAATTAACAAATATGTTAGTAATTGTGTATAAGACGAGTTCGAGTGAGTTATAGAGCTTTATAAATAATTTTTAATAGTCAAAATATACTACTACGTATGCCGAGTACTATAAAAGTCATAAAAATCATACATTCCAGGTTGTTCAGTTGCTATATATACATGTATATATTTGTATATATGTATACATATGCGCAGCTAGTTTGTATATAGCGTATATATATAGTTATATTTAAGTATAAAAAATCTCAGAGTTATGCATCAGTGTTAACCATGTGAAAGCTTTAGATGTACTATATAGGGTGGTACATGTATTTATTAGACACTGTAAGGACACACACACACATTTAGACACACCCACACACACAACTTGTCCAATAATGCAACTAAAATGAGACCAAACATTGTAGTGCGAATTTTAAAAATAGTGCACAATTCTACACACGAATAAATATATATATATATATATATATATATATATATATATGGATATATATATAAACATTTACATATACATATATTTACAATAAAATCCGTCGACATTTGAATGTAAATGCTGCGTGCTGTGTGTTAACAAATTAGAGTTTTTATTTATGTAAAAGGAGGAAAACGAATTTATTTCTTTTAAAAAAAAAGCACCCACACATATTGAAACATATCATTGGCTACATTTTTTAAATTTTTTGGAATGAGATTTAATTAGTATATTGGGCTAAAGTTTGGTTTAATTTGAACACACAGCACCCGCATTAGGCTAGCAAATATTTATATAACATATGTTATTTATTTATTATATATTGTAAATAGTAAAAATGTAACTTGATATACAAAATATCAATGAAATGGTGCAGCTTTAAATGAATTTTGATAAAGAACAAAACAAAAAATACAATACATAAAATGAGATACAACCAAGTACGAACAAATGCTAAATGTGTATATTTAATATAGTCCTATAATAATACGCAGGCATTTGCCAGACACAGATACTCAGACAAAACAACAAAAATACAGAACGAACTAGAATCGAATCAATATCTGAGCCGAATCTTTAAAACTTTAGTAAGTATACTCAATAGACCCTCATCGGATTATATACATATACAATATAGTTAAACATTAACTGGAAGCTCTGTAGTACGTGCAACATATATAAATATATATGCATGTAAGTTGCAACCTATCTAATATATCACATAGAGTTCTATATAAACTAGTATGTACTATTAAGATAGAATAGAATGAATATTGAATTGATATTAATGAAGCATTCCTTGCAGGCATATTATAAGCATGCTCTAAACGAGCCCTAAACTATTGAATATTTAAATATAAAAAATATTATGCTGATATATACACATAGTACCTATTTGTTTACTAACTATACAAGAGCATGAAAATACTCAGTTGTTGTATTAAGCCTATATATTCAAATTGAAATGTTGATGTCGAAGCTATATTCGGTGTCATCAGGTGTTGGCTTTATGTTAGACTAGTCTAGGGATCAGAATCGAAAATAATTAAAAAGTCAACTAAATAAAAAACTAATTGCGAATTTTCTGACGCTAAATAAACATGTATGTGCATCAATTGTAATGCATACTAAATAATCGTTTTGATTTCAATTACAAGCAAAGCAAATATATATATATATATACATATACAAAATGCATATAAATCCATTTAATTTTTTGCAAATAACATTTTCGATGCGAATCGTAGCGCCCACAAAACTGTGTATTCGTTTCCAAATGGAAACGAATAGCTTTCTTGTGTCTTGGCGTCGGGTTGCAAATGCCACACAGTAGCCAGTTAACATTAATTATAAATGAAATGAATATCTACTACTATTAGGTATAAATAAACGAAACAAACTAAATAAAATTCAAATTAAATACAGTCTAAACAATAAGATACATAACTATGTACTATATAGAACCACAGACTAAAGTGTATTTATTTACATAAAATAAGCTAAACTTAACAAAATAACACTCATCATATAATAAATATGAAAGTATATATGAAATAGAATTAGCCGGAATAGCAAATAAATAAACTTACTAACCAAAAAAGCCAAAAATGAATAAATAAACTTATTAAAAAGCATGCATGTTAGTTGTCTTAAAATTAGTTTAAAATAAGTACTTTTCAAAATTGCCCCCCTTTGATGTATATAAAAATACTTATTGTACTCGTATTGTTTATACTTTTATTGTAGTTTATTCATAAATGTGCCATTATGCAGCTTCAAGTGCTTAAACATTAAATAACTTAGGTATTTCGATTCGGTTGAAAACTTGCCTCCGCTTTTTCTGGCTTATTATAATAAACCCCAAATTGGTTTACAATTGTGCCAAGGCTCTTGAAATACATTTATATATATACATATATATATATATATATCTGATTAGAATAGAGAACTAAGAATCATAACCATCTATGTAAGCCACGCCTGTAATCAGTGTTTAAAACAAGCCAATAATAAATACAATCTATCTGTATAGATGTTATTAATCAATGCTTCTTTCGTTTTCTTCAATATATAAGCCGTAGGCATTAGCCAAACTTAACTTAACATACGGACCGTATATACTTATAAAGGTTAGTACAAGATTTCTACTCTGTTTGCCGAATTGGGCTAAAATCTCGCAGGTTCGGCAAGGATGCAGTGCCATGAATGGGCGAAACAGCACCGGATGCTCCATTTGCGTTAGCATTTCGTATAGATCGGTACGCGATGCGTCTGGCATAAATACACTCCAAGTGGCCTCTAAATCCAAGAGGCGACCGTCTACGAAATAACTTATAATAATTGCTTAAAACTGACGTAAAAGCCAAATGGCATATGAGCTATAAGTTACCTGATCTATGTGCTTGAAAGTAGAGCATTGGCACCTGATAGGAAACGCTGTATACGATGTGATATTCCACATTAATCAGCTCATCGTTCGCTTTGCATTTGATCTTTTGCGTGTATTTCAGAAAACTGTTGGGCTCTTCGTCATCCTAGAAGAAGAAAAATTAGTTAAGTGGAATTTGAGATTGAGCAGCACTCACTTTTTTATACAATTGCCAGCTATCGTTTAATTGCTGTGAGATGTCCAGAAATTGTTTGGCCTGGCTTAGAAACTCTGGCCAAGTGAGTGTAGCGTTCATGTTGTGTTGTGCTAGTAAAGAAAAAGAAAGAAAATATGAGTTAGGAATAGCACAATATACAATATACTTAGACTAGCTGAATATAAACACAGTTGTTATCTTTACATAATAAGCACATACATATATATATATTATAATAAGTAATCGACAAATCGAAACTGTTCACATTTTAAAGCTCCTCAACGTGGAACACTTAAGGTTAAACACATAATTAACTTCACTACAAAGCAGTTAAGCGCAACCAACAGAATGCAGTTTTTAAAACCTATGATAAGATGAGGAGAGGCATTCTCTCCATTAAGAATTGCGTGGCTCCGCCTCCAATGCGGCCACCTGAATATTCTCATTGCGTCGTACTTGGACAACAGTCACTGTGCCAGCTTTGTCGTCAAACTTGCAAGTGACCGTGACCTCGCTTAGCTGGAAGGTGAATATTTGTGAGCCGTATTTTGTGCGCAAATATACAGAGCGTGGATCCGCCTCCAATATGTCCACAATGCATTGCTTATGCACCTGCAGCTCCAACAGCTGAGCCTCGGCATGCTCGTTAAAGCAAACGGTCAGCCGGTGACCGGCCACCACCCAATTGGGCACACGCACTGCGCTGGGCAACGGTGGTGCTGACGGCGTTGGCTGTATGCCTAATCCATCCGCGTGTATAGTGCTGGCGGTATAGCCAGCGGCGCCATATAATTCGAGATCCGATTCTTCGCCGTCCGGCTCCTGTCGCGAATCATAAAAGTCGGCGCTATTTTCATTCGGCATAGCAGAAGTACGACCTTTTAGGATGGACACAAATGGAATCAATGCAAAGAGAATCCGTGTAAAAGCCATCCAAACACGCACCTGGGTCGACGCTTAGAGCTGGCGCATCATAATATGGTATATACGGTTTGATATCCAGTACAGGCGTGCCATCTACCATATCAGTGCCAAAGAAGCTTATGGTGGCGCCGTCAATCTTCTCAATTTCCACCAGCGATAGCCCAATGGGACAGGGCCGATGCGGGGAACGTGTAGAGAACACTCCGATTCGCTCCCCACCCAAACGTGGAGGGGCAACTTTTGCCTTCGGATGTGCGTTGTTGCGATGGAAGTGATAGATGAGCCACATGTGCGAGAAGTCGGTTAGGCCTTCCAGGGAGTGTTCCGGATTGGTAAAGACGCCATCGTTGAGCTGTATGAGGCTACGAAGTCGACTGCCCACGCTCGATTGGCGGGGCACGGCGCGCTTCTCTGGAAACGCGCTGCGTATGATGCCGATGGGCTTAAAATTGGTCACATCCTCACGACCGTTCACATTGATATCATTGCTGTCGTTCTGGATGGTTTCACTTACGGTTAATATTGTTTGCTTAGATCCCCACCCACTCACCTGGCACGCACCTGCAAAATGAGCGATTCCGGTTTGTCCTTGCCCTTGGCATTTATGTTGCTGGCGCAGCCTTCGCAGCGAAAATCCTGCAGCAGCCGGTTTATTGTTTCAATGTCCTTGCGCTGCACATGCTGCAAGTTGCGCACTTGCTGTCTGCACATGGAATCGAATTCAAGGTACATAAAAATAACTTTGAACTTGAACTTCAGCAATATGCAAAGATTTCATTGTACCTCAAATTATTAATCTCGTTCCGCGCAATAGTTAATTGATTTTTCAGATCATCCTCGTGCATGTTCGTAATGCGAAAACACCGAACCGAATATGCTTACACTTAATTTAACATTAAAACATGTGCTTAATATTAATTGTTTCATTTCTATTCGCACATATTTACCTGTTCCTTTTTAAGCTGCCATTCGCTTTACCGCAAATTTATAGCCAGTCAACTCTGCATGCCTATCGATTTATTTGGTTGCCATTCACACAAAACCAGAAACGATAACACATCAAGTATTGTGCGATAAATCGATATGTTTGATCCAGCCCTAGCCAACAATGACTTTATAAATTTCATCTGCGAGCAAAGCTGAAAACCAAGCACACTTCAAGTTGTAGGTTTGAAATTAAATAGAAAAAAGGTGAGTACGGCTACGAAAGTTAATTGAATAGTTTATCAAAAGCCTCTTTTTTGCACTTGTGCACAGTCAAATTATAAAAAATACAAGAAAATGTCTCGCGGAAGTTCAGCCGGTTTCGATAGACACATTACAATCTTTTCGCCCGAGGGACGCCTCTACCAAGTGGGTAAGTTATGCGGAAAATAGTGCATTAATTTAATATCCCCATTAAATAATACCCCATTATTTAGAGTATGCATTCAAGGCCATCGATCAGGAGAACATCACCACCGTGGCTTTGAAGAGCGGCGACTGTGCCGTTGTGGCCACCCAGAAGAAGGTGACCGAGAAGAATATTGTGCCCGAGACTGTGACACATTTATTTGGCATCACCAAGCAAATTGGTTGCGTTATGACCGGACGCATTGGTAAGGCCAACATTTGAATGCATTATCAGTGTGGAAAATGTTCAATAATTACCTTTTGCAGCGGACTCACGATCGCAGGTGCAAAAGGCACGCTATGAAGCAGCCAATTTCCGTTACAAATACGGCTACGAGATGCCCGTGGATGTGCTCTGCCGTCGCATCGCCGACATCAATCAGGTGTACACGCAAAATGCCGAGATGCGTCCGCTGGGCTGCAGCATGGTGCTGATCTCCTATGACGACGAACTGGGTCCGTGTGTCTACAAAACCGATCCGGCCGGCTACTATTGCGGTTTCCGTGCCTGTTCGGTGGGTGCCAAAATGATTGACGCCAACAGCTTTCTGGAAAAGAAATACAAGAATAATTTATCCGAGGAGAAGACCATTCAATTGGCAATCACTTGTCTCTCCACCGTGTTGGCAGTTGACTTTAGGCAGAACGGCATCGAAATCGGTGTTGTCAGCAAGTCGAATCCCCAGTTCCGCATACTCGACGAGAAGGAGATCGAGGATCATCTAAACAAAATTGCTGAAAAGGATTGAACGCGCAGCGTTTGACCCTCTAGATCTTATATCGAACTATTTTATACATTAAATGGAATGTGGAAAACATAAGAAAACAAAAACAACCAAAAGGCATTTTCTCATTTACCAACTGACGCATTGTAATTAGCTTTAATTCTCCTTCTTCTGGTGCACCTTTCCGCCATAGCGCATCACAAAGGCGTTAATATCAAACTTGCGCTTACAGCCCTGATAGTTCATGTAGCGTATCTTGCCAAAGATGTCGCGCTCCTTCCAGCCTTGGTCGTGAACACCGCCTATGGACCACATGCAGCCCACATAGCCATTGGGATCGCGTCCGTCCAGGCTGTACTTGTCGTTCAGCAGTATGCTGTATTCCAATGCCAGCTCTGGCGTTTCCGTCCACTCCAATATCTTTTTGGCCCAGTACATGCGCAGAAATCCATGCATTTTGCCCTCCTTCACCAGCTGCAGCTGTGCCGAGTTCCACAGGTCGTCGTAGGTGCGCGCTTGCTCCAATTCCTCGAGCGTATAGCACGGACTGCGCTTATCCTTGCGATGCGCCTGCAGCGTTTGATATGCCCAGTCGTGCAGACCCTTCAGGCTATCGTAGTGCTCGTTGTAGTAGCAAAAGTTGTCGGCCAGCTCGCGACGGACAATCGCCTCCTCGCAGAAGGCATCCGCCGATGCCTTGTGCATGGCACTGTAACGCTGCACCTCCAGAATGCAGCGCTGTGCCGATATCTGACCGAAGTGCAGCCAGGGCGAGAGTCCGGACAGTGCATCCGCCGTGGGATCATTGCGCTTCTCATTGAAATGTCGCAAACGGCGCGTACAAAACTCGTACAGCTGGCGGCAGCCAGCCGTATAGCCGGGCTTGGCCCAGTCCACCGCATCCACGGTCTTGTCGCAGGACAACAGCGCGTAGGCAGCTGTCCAATCAGTAGATTCTTTAGCCTGCCCCTTGCCATGCGGATGCCTGATGACGGGCGGAAACTCACTAAGAAATTCGCCCAATTTCGAGTTGATTTTGTTGCGTATGGTGCGCGCTGCATACTCCTGCTTCTCGGAGGTCACCCACAGCGGCACAATGTTGTGTGCATCCACTTGGGTGAGCGGCACATGGCCCGGCAAGGCCTTGACCACATCCGCGACCCATTGACGCGGCAGCCGCAAGGGCGCAAAGTCGCAGATCACGGCGCCAATGTCCTCGGCAGTCACGAATTCCGGCAAACGCTCCGCAGCCGGACCCAGCAGCAGCTGGAAGGAGATGTTCAGCTCATGACACTGCTGCTCCACTTCCTGCAGGCCGCCCAGCATAAACTTGTAGTGTCGCAAGGTGGCATTTAGAAACTTGGGCACCAGACAGAAGACCACCGTCAGCGGCAGCTCCAGCTTCAGCGCCAGACGCTGAGCAAACAGCAGCGCCCAATTGTCCTGCACGCGCGCATCGCGTGACATCCAATAGAGGACGCCGCCCTTGGACTGCTCCTTCACATCGCTAACTGTACTTAGGACGCGCACACGTTTCTTTTTAAAGGCGAAATCGTGTACATCTCTGGCGGCCGCAATGCGTTGCGCTTGCATGTGGCTGAGAAATTGCTCAAAGTTGTTGTAGCTTGGCTTGGTCTTTTTTTCCGTGGCTATTGTAACTGTTGTTTCCTCATCGCTGCCGCTGCTTTCGTTCTTTTTGGGCTTCTTCTTGGCGCCGCCTGCTGCGCTGCTGTTTTTGTTGCGCTTCATGTGTAGTCTAAATACAAAATACTAATTAAAATAAATGCAATTATTTATTATTTAGACACTTGCGTTTGAGCGAGAGCACGAAAGCCGCCAAGCGAAACAAATTTATATTTCACAATTTGCATTACGCCTTGTGTTTTCAGTATATTTGCTGCTTCGTGTATCTGGTCACACTTTTTGCCCCATAAGCCAAATTGCCGTTAACCGCACTAACAGAGTGTAACAGCAGCTTAACATTGCCAATACAACAGTTATAAATAACAAATATAACTGTCTTTGAATGATTTATATATATTTACTCAACTGCATACAGGTATTCATTTGTTTAAATAACTCTCTTGATATACAGATATATTCTTTCCCATACATATAAATTGTACCATTTAGCAAGTGTTACATCTAGCCTATGCCGGAAATTACGCATGATTCGGTTTGTCTTTGGAAATACGTTTACATTAGACTCGATTTGATGATGATTTTAGTTAATAAATGTTTAAACGTGTATATACAGCTAAGAAAATTGTTTGTTGTCTGGCTAATAAAATATATATAAAATATGGAATTTCACTTAAAATTTGAAATTTATACTTATTTCAAAGATAAACCTAATCAATTTACACTACACACAATCAAACGAAGCGCAACAAATAAATTACAAAATAATAAACAAAACTATCACAAACAATAACAGTACACAAAGTATAAGAATGGCGGCCCATTGACGCTTATCTGCAATAGAATTAAAAAAAAAAAACACACACACAGATAAGTATGAATTTTAGTTAGTTTAGATAGGTAATATTACCGTTATTCATGTGTAAAACTTTGGCAACTTTTTTCATTGTTGTGTCCAGCTTGGATTCGGTTGTGTCGAACTCATTCCCGAAATCATCCAACATGACCGCCTGCTCGTCCAATTCGACGCCAATCTGACGCGAAACAGTCTTAAGAGTGCCAATGGAATCACTTATCATATCCAGCTGCTCGTCCTGACCCTGTATCATGCGCTGCTGTATGGACACCGTCTCGCCCACATACCGATGCCCCGGACTGTCCAGACTGCCGCCATAATGGCTGGGACTATCGATGTCCAGAGCGTTCTCCAGCTTGGAGTATTTGGTGCCACTGTGCCGGGTCGCGGCTGCCGCTGCTGCTGCGGCAGACATGGTGCCAGCTATGGTATTGGCCACCGACTGCGGATTGGGGCAATCAACCAGATAGGCGCGATCGTTGTGCGATGTATGATATTCGTTGGCCTGGCTGTGATTCTGGCTGTGATTGAGACTGTGATTCCGTGTTTCGTTCTCGAGCAATGGCTGATGTGCGGTTATGTCTCTGTCCCTGTTCCGGTTCAGGCTCATCTTATCCTTCATCTGCTTGACCTCATCGCGTGTGTTGTCTATGAAATGTCGCCGGCTGGATAGTTCACGATTATCAATGCGAAACTTTGTGGGATTCTTTTCAACAATGCGTGCTATAAAGAATTGGAAAAAGTTAAGGATTGGCTGGCAATGGCAACAAATGTGTGTATCGAATTGTGTTTAGTTTTGCAAAAGGATATTGATGGCGTCCTCCAGATCCTCTAAGTCCCATTCAATGCTGCGCAGCGAATTACGCAGCTCCGTTGTGGTCCATTCAACCTCGGCGCCTCCGTTCTCGCCCAGCTCACGCCAACGCAAATAGAGTCCGCGTGTTTTGTTCAGCGCTTTGAAAACCTCGCTATAAAGACAAAAAGAGGGAGCAGGGAGCAGGGAGCAGGGGGTGGTTGGGTGGGTGTACAGGGTTGCATCAGAATATGTTGGCGCTGCAAGTGCAATAAAATGCATACTCCTTGACAACAAAAAACGGATCCTCCAGAGACATGACCCCACGCTCTGTCACGTATTTACTTTCGTTCAAATGGAATTATTTTTACTGTCTTCCGTAACGGTACTTGACTTCTTTTATACTCATAGGTTTGTTTTTTTTTTCTGTGCCCCACTCACACAGCGAGCCACAACCCCCGCGAATTTGTTTTTGGGTGGGGGGAAGGGTAAATAATGCAAGTTAGCAAAATATATGAGAGTTTGCGAATGCTGCTTCGTTTTTCTTTTTCTGCTTTTGTTGGTTTTCCAGACGTAAATATAAAGGATTGTGTGCTGGCACGAAATTCAGTAACAACTTTGAACTAATCTACAGCTACTTTTATTGGAAGTTTATTTTTCAAAAGCACGTTTATTGATTATTGCACATTGCCGTCTTATCTTGTTGTCAGCGGAGGGGGCGGGTGTATGCGACAGACCGCGTACGCGGCCAGGCTATTGCGATAGCCAGAAGTAAACTGACGTGACGCTGCCTCCGGAGCGTAAAAGGAGTCTAAAGGTGAAGGCATTTGTTTATGCCGCTCCAGCGTCTGCGCAGTGCTCAATCGCCCTCGGGCACGCAATTGCGATAACAGCCCCCACGCAGCAACAACAACTAAGGAAGCCGCAATCTTGCATATTGTTTATTAACTATTTGAGCTTTTCAAGCATAACAAATACCAATTATTCTGCTTCTTTGCTAGTTCAAATGAACTTAGATTTAACTGTAAGTTAAGTTTGCGCACTCTCTTGATGACGTTCGCGCTCTCTTTGTTTTTTGCTCTCTGCCAGTCAGGCTTGAAGAGCAGCAGCAGCAGCCCGTTTGTTGTTTGTGTTTGATTCATTTAACAACTGCTGCTTTAATTTCAACTTTTCACTTTAAGCGCCATATAAACTCACCTACTGCACGTTGCCACCTCATCAATTACGGTTTTAATGCACAAACAGTACGAGTTAAAAGCAAAGTTTGTCTTTTTATCCAAAAATTAACACCTTTTAGTTACAGCTGTGCTCGGATATTGTTGTGGCCACTCGTCTCTTTAATGCGTAATGTTAACGCAAAAATGAGCAACGCAGCCCAACTTGACGAGATGCAGATTCGTTCCTTTTGTTTGGGTATTTTAATGCGATTAAAATTTGGTCACACAGTTGTCCGTTGATCTGTTTTGTATTGCAAGCGTTTGAAAAAAAACTGCGTACCTGTTTTAACAAAAAAATTAACTAAAATGCTGCAAAATGATGCGGTGCGCACCTTACAATATGACAGTGAAATACGCGTGGCTCAAACTACCAATGAAGCCGAACCTCGAGGTAAACTCTAGCCCAATATATTGAAATTCCGACAAAAAACTCACATGAATCATGACAAACGGTTAATGTTTTTTTTAGTAACTGATAATTATTCCAGTGGTATAGGTGTTGCTGTAAACGACACAACTGGATTAATTGCCAGAGGGTGGTGTGGCGAGGTGTGTGTCATACGTCCATATCCATATCTTATCAGCAGCTGTTCTGCTGTTTTGGTTTTATGGCCGTCGTTTGTCGATTCGCCCTATCAAGTGCCTTTGTTAGCCATCCAATTGACCAAGTGATCGATTTTAAGAAAACATTGTACCGAAAACAGATTAGAAATTTTGCTTTTGTTCTGCTTGCAGTTTATGACGCCCAAATCAGCATAACTGCCCAGCCGCGACCAACATCAGGTAAGTTGCTCCAGATTATATTAAGACACCAATTGATAAGCGTTAATTCGTTCACAGAAGCTCCGCGCATTCCATTGCCCATTTCTACGGTCGCCGGCAGTCGCACCTTTATACCCCTGGCCGGCTATGATTGCCTTGCGGACTTGCCCTCTGTGCATATTGAGCAGACTTTCGAGCTGAATGATTGTGCGTACGAGATCCGGAGGTTTGGTCTAGAGCCCAGCATCGTGTCAACTGAAACGCGTCACGTATACTCGAGCTAATATTTCGGTCGAGCGAGTCAAGCCTCAAAACGTTTCGACTCGAGCTGTTCGAGTTGCAGTTGCATTCAAACACGTTGCTCGAACTTGTTGCTCAGCTCGCTATCCGTAAGCTCGAGTCTGTCTCTTTTCGGCTGAGTCAATTGAGTGTTCATCTTTGATTCTAGCCGATGACCCGACGCTGGACTCTGGCTTAAACTCATATACATTATTCATAAGCGTTAATTTAAAAATTTGCAGCACTCACGGCTGTTTCCTCGGAGAATCGTTATGTGGTTCGCTCGCCGCTGGGTGATGCCATCTTTGCCGCCTCCGAGAGCTCCACAGGCAGGAATCGCATGATTTGGGGCGCTGCTCGGCCATTTCAGATGCATCTGCTAGACAAAACGCATCAGGAAGCGCTGGTATTCCGCAAGAAGCTGGCAGTCGGGGCAATATGTTGCCAGCCCAAGAATCTGGAGATATGGATACCGCCGGGCAATGTGCTGGGTCGCGTGGTGCAATCGCCAACCTTCACACAGCCGGAGTTTTACATTGAGGACGGCAACACGCATCAGCCGGTCTTCTGTGTGGAAGGACCCGCCAATTCCGGCTTCTGCTGCTACTGCCTGCCCAAAGAGTGCTACTTTAAGGTGAGCTCGAACTACGCATTTATTTCGAGCTGCTAATCTTATAAATATGCCCACAACAGATTCACTCCGGCGGCGACCTACGCGCCTCCATAGACCACAAATGGTTGGCCAGCAAATCGCAGTACACGACAAACATTTACTTCAGCGATGCCCGGCTGACGGCCAAGGAGCGTGCCCTGATTCTGGGCTCCGCATTTCTGCTGGTGAGCTGCATCCAAGCTAATCACATAAACTCGAAAACTAAACTATGCCCCAATCTTTCAGGAATATATGTACTTTCAGAAGCGCTTTTAGGACTGGGCGTACAAATTAAAGAACAACTACGAAATTTAATTTTCACATTGATCTTTTTTTTTGTTTTTATTATTTTTTGTGTCATTTTCTTTTTTTGTGGTTTGTTTGTAAAGTTTTCATGCTCAGTTTTTTTTTTGTTTGTTTGTTGATATATTTTACAATAATGTAATAAATCACTTCATTTTTGTGTTTGTTAAACATACATATACATTCACACATATATATATATATATATACCATATAATATATATAAATATATATACTTTGCTATACTTGTAGCCATTTTGTACAATAATTTTCATTAATTTCTATAAACTTTATGTGCATGTGTGTGTGTTGGTGTGTTGGTGTGTGTGTTTAGCTAGCCTACAAAACTTAATGTTTATATGACAACATAATCTTTATCTATAGTTAGTTTTCTTTTTTTGTAATTTTATTTGATTTTCAATTTGCTTTCGCTAATTAAATATACATATACACACACACATATATATATATATATATATAATTAATTAATTAAAACAAACAATTGAAAAGAGTCTCGTGGTCTCGTTTTTTTTTTCTTTTTTTCTTTGTTGTTAATCTAAAAAAATTAAAACATAAACCTAATAATAGGGTGTACGCAAATCCAATGCAGAGAACAAACTTCAAAATTAGGAAGAACTACGTGATTTAATGGGAAAACGGGTTCGGCTTGGGTTCGGTCGGAGGGGAGGAGGAGTTTGGTCTGGTGGGCGTGGGCTAAGCCTTATAAATTATTAACTAATATTTACACACAAAAAAAAAATCATCTTTTTTTTTTTGTTGTTGTTTATAGATACGACTCACAGCACTTCAGGAGTTTTGTATTTGTTTTTGTTTGTTTCTGTTTTAAGCATTTCGAAAAAGAAATTATAGATCTTCATATATACGCATATATATATATATATATATATACATATATATACGTATATGTATTTGTTTTGTGTGTGTGCTTGTGTATATATATATATATATATATATATATTAACTAGGACTATATATACTAGAATATAAGTATATATAGATATATGTATAGACGAGTTTGAACAACTTTTCGTAGCTGAGAGTTGACAATAAACTAAACTAAATACTTAAGTTGCAAGCAACTGTTGCTTTATACGATTTATAGTATATGTATATTGTACATATGCTTGACTTGCCCACACACACACACACACACACACACACACACACACACCTGCACACCTGTTGTGAGTAGTTATAGCCCATAGATAAGTGTTTGCCAGTTATCAACATTATTTTGATTGACAGCTTTTCAAGCAGCTCGTTGGCTTTGCCACCTGCTACACCTGGGGTTAAGGTCAGTTGCTGCAAGTGTAGCCAGTCGAGTGTGTGTGCGTGCGTGTGTGTGTGTAGAGTTTACTTTGTTGTGTGCCCAAATGCGATATGCTTAGACATTTGATATGCGCTCGTTGATGTTTTGGTCATTGCCGCATCCACGGCTGCTGTTCGTAGCTTGTTGCTGTGGCTGGGCTTGGGTCCGGTTTGGATTTGGATTTGGATTTGGATTTGTTGGCCATAATTGGTAGGCCTGGTAGTGATGGGGCCACACTCAGGTGGGCTGCAGCATGTACATGTACTGTCAGTTGCTGGCCGTCGCCACCGGCAGCGACAATTCGTTTGTATTGCTTCGCGGTCGCTTCTCGATGCTGTTGCTGCCGCCGGTCGTCTCGAGGGGATTGTCGCTCTCGTCGCCGTTGCTGCTGAAGCTGCTGCCGGGCAGACGACGCTTGAGGCTGTGCCCGTGGCTGAGGCCGTTGGTGAGCGTCTCATCCTCGGACATGGAGCTGGCGCGCTTGGGCGTATTGCCCGCGCTGTCGTTGTCCAGTGAGGCGATGGCCGAGGCTGCGGCACTGTTTGCCGCACTGAAGCCATCCTCGCTGGCGCTGTCCTGGCCGGCGGCTGGCGTGTCCGTGGCCAGCTGCAGCATGCCCGAGGGCGTTGTATAGCCGCTGAGCTTATTCGGATCCTTTTCGAGCAGCTTCTGTGCAAGCAACTTGAGCGATATTAGCGAATTCTCGCAGTCGCTGGTATCGATCTCGGTCAGGCTGATGCCGGCGCGTTCGATCTCCGCATAGGTGCCAAACGGCAGCTTCTGCAGGCACTCCAGCTTCTGGACGTGCGTCTTGGAGCGCAAATGCTTTGCCAGATGGCCGTGTATGCGAAACGCGATCTTGCAATCGGTGCACTCGAACGGACGCGGGTTCGAGGTGGTCGGCACACCAAACGTGGACGTCATCATCACCTTGTTCTTGTGCGCCTCGGAGCGTTCGTGCTTCTGCAGATGACCCTGCGTGCGGAACGAGATGCTGCACGGCTCGCACTTGAACTTGCGCTCCATATAGTGTATGTTCATGTGCAGGGTAAGCTGATGCTGTCGCTGGAACGTCTTGCTGCATATGATGCACGTGGGCCGCGCATCGCTTGCAATCGGTGGCGGTGGCGGCGGCACCACACGGCCGGGATAGCTGCCAGGCGCGGGCGCGGGCGCGGGCGCGGCAGCAGCTGCAGCTGCAGCAGTACCGGGAGCACCTGCAGCAGGGATGGATTGCAGTTCGGCGGCGCTGCTCGTTGTTGGCGTCGCCTTAAATCCCTCCTCGCCGACAATGACAGTGCGCGCGGATGCTGTGCCTCCTGTCAGGCTACTGTTGCTGTTGCTTAGCACGCCGCTGAAATCTGTGGCATCCGGCTGCTGCACTGCAGCAGGCAGATTGGCGTTGTGCGGCGTTGGCGGCTGCGACATGGCCACTTCCGTGCTGGCTTTGGCGACGGGCGCAGCGGCAGGAAGTGCTATGGCTGGCTTCTCGCGCTCCAACTGTGCCTCGGATGGCTCGCTCTCCTCGGGCAGCTGCAGTGGAGCCACGGCTGACGGCTCGGGCTTCACCTGCACCTCCTGCACCTCGTGCACCTCAATGCTGGGCACATCCGTGATGCTGATGGCCGGCTTCGGCAGGCTGCCGCCGACGCTGCTGCTGACAATGGGCGTGCCGGCAGAGCTGCTGCTGCTGCTGGTGGTGCAGGTGCTGGTGCAGGTGCTGATGCTAGTCATTACCAGGTAACTGCGACTGAACTGGCTCTGCTTCATTTTAGCATGCTGTAGCGCCTGCTCCTTGATGTAGGTCTGCAGCAGCAGATCGTCGCCTTCACTGTCGCGCTTTGCCTGCTCCTCCATTTCGGCGGAGATGCGCACCTTGTCGGACACCGAAATGAGCGTCTTCATGAAGCCGCTTTCGTTGTTGCCGGCACCAAAGATCACATCGCGCATTTGCTGTGCCTGCGATTTGGGCAGCGTCTGCTCTGACGGCTGGGCGGGAGCGGAAGCAGCGGGAGCAGCAGGTAGCATGTGTTGCATGGAACGCGGCTTGGTCAGATCCATGGGCGCGCTGCTTTCGTCGTTGGGCACGTCACGTTTCGGCTTGGACTCCTCCGGATTGGAGTAATACTGTTCCTGCTTCTGGTAGTCGAACGGCGGCTTCGGCGAGGTAAACGAGCACACCTGACGCTTTGGCTGCGAACCGCCCGCGGCGCTGCCCGCCGATGAGCCAATGCTGTTCGCCGGACTGGCCGCCGGACCGGGCGCCTCCGGCAGCTGTGCGGGATAGGGCGATACGCTCTGCGGTATGGGCGGTGTCATGGACAGCGAGAGCAGGCCGCGCGCCGCCTCGTGCTCCTTCATGCGCGACTTCGACTCATCGGTGTCTGCAATACAATTAAAAGTGAGTCTCTCTGTGAGGAGGATATGGATGTATATATAAGAGCTCTGTCGATTTAAGCCTTGACTCAAGCTTTTGGATATTGAACTCAAATAAAATACTCATCGAACCCAAGTCAAGTTCAAGTTCGACTCAGCAACATGTTCGAGCTTGAATGCAACTACAACTCAAACAGCTCGAACCCAACTGTTGTGAGTCCTGAACGCTCGAACTAAGCAAAGGTTTGAGCGTTTCGTTTGACTCGACGTAGAGCTCTTGTATATAAATTGATGGAACTTACCGCTGCTCTCGGATTCGTTGTCGCTGTAATCATCGGAATCGGACTCGCCGGCCATGGATGAGGTGCGTCCGCCAGCGGATGTTGACGACTGCTGATCGAACTCCACATCGACATCGAGGAATTCACCATCGGCGGGCATGGGACCCGGATTGATGCCCAGTTCGATGCATTTCTTGAAATGCGTCTTCGACTGCATGTGCTTGGTCAGATTGCCCTTGGTCTTGAAGCTGTCGCATTAAGTATTTATATTAAAAACTGAGAGCTTCAATAGGATGTTGTAGGTGTGCTTACCTGAAATTGCAGTGGCTGCAGGTGAACGGACGCACGTCCGTGTGTGTGCGTATGTGCTTCTTGAGCATGGAGGGTTTCTTGCAGCGAATGCCGCACTCGGAGCACACATAACGACCGCGTCCACGTCCGCGTATGTATGTGTAATCCTCATGCGATTCATAGCCACCGACAAGCAGTTGACCCGACTCCAGCTTCTTGGCGGCGGCGGCGGCGGCCGCGGCATCCTCCTCGCTAGCCTTGGCCGCCACATTCGCCTCACTGAGCGCTCCGATCGAGGTTGGCGGCTGCTTTGGCTGATGCTGATAGAACTTGTTCTGGCTATTGATTGCCGTCGAGCAGCTGCTGATCGTCTGCTGTGAGCTGACCAGGGCGTAGTGCAGCTTGCCGGCGCCTGTGCCTGCCATCGACATGGTCGAGCCGTAGCCGAGCATTTTCTGTCTGGAATCGTAGAGGGCCATCACCTGTCTGGGCTTGAAGCCCAACGGATGCGGCTGATTCTCCTCGCACACCTGCCACACACTGTACATGGACAGCTTGTGCATGCCGGCGACATACGACGGCTGCGGACAGTTGACAGTACAGTAAAACATCTTCGTGCTGGACTTAAGACCCAGATACGTGTAGGCGTGCCCGTTCAAATAAAGCTGCACGCACGACTTCGAGGGACGCGGCGTTTCGGGCGAGATCAGGGGCAGGGTATTCGCTGTCGGCGTGATGCCATGATGACGCTTGGGCGTAAAGGTGCCCGGCTTGAGCGGCAGGCTGGTGGGTCGCAGGAATTTCGACTTGGCCGAGCTGGGCGTGCCAGCAGTTGCTGCTGCTGTTGCAGATGTTGCTGCAGATGTTGCTGCAGATGTTGCTGCCTCCTCGGGCGTGTCGACGTGCAGCGGCGCCAGCGCCTCCTGCGTCTTGTGCACATTATCGAAATTGAAGTGTCGCACCTCCTGGGCCAGCTGCTGCTCCTTTACGTTGTCGGCCATGCGCAGAAAATTGAAGGGCGCCTTCTTCACATCCACAGCAGCAACTGTTGCTGCCGTCTTGTTGATGTTGTTGATGTTGTTGCTGCTGCTGTTGCTGTTGTTGCTGTTGTTGTTGCTGCTCCATTGCAGTGCCTGACGCTGCGCGGGCGTCGGCGGCTGGCGACTGAACTCGCTGGGTAAATTCTGCACGCCGCCGAACGGCGACAGCGCCTTGAGCGGCGCGTCCAGCAGCAGAGGATTGGAATTGGGACTCGGCTGCTTGCGATTGGGACTGCGTCCGCGCGGTTGCAGGTGCAGCTGCTGCGGCGGCGGCGGCAGCAATGACAGGCTGCCCGGGCCCGGTATGCCGGGCACATACGGTATGGACTTGTGGGCATCAACAACATGGTTGCTGCTGCTGCTGCTGCTCATCGGCGGCAGCGTGAGAGGATTGAAGGCAGTTATCGAGCTGATGGGCGGAAACTGAAAATGTTGCGGCGTGTTGTTGTTGTAGTTGTTGTTGTTGCTGTTGCTGCTGCTGCTGCTGGCGAGCAGATAGCCATTGTTGGGCACGGGCAGCGGCAATTTACGCTCCTTGGTCTCGCTGAGGCGCGGCGACATCTCCTGGAAGCTGCCGCCCGACAGCAACGGGGTGCGTATCATTTTGGGACTCTTGTCCAGCTCGGGGCACTCGGAGATGGGTATCATGCTGCCGCCGGACGAGGTGAAGCGACGCAAACGCTCCTCCTTGCCACCGCCAAAGGCGCCTGCCAAAGGAAGCTCCTGATTGCCGCCCAGGAACAGCTGCACGCCCGCAGGCAATGCGAACGCCTTGCCGCTCAAACTGCTCGCGATGGCAATATCGCTCAGCTTGGGCCGCTTCGCTGGCGGCGATTCAATGATGATGTTCTCCAGCCGATCCTCGTGCATTTTGGTGATGACCACCTGGGCATCCGGTGCTTTGCGTGGTGCCGCATAGTCCACCAGCGGGGTCTTGCCCAGAAGCGGGCCGGGCGAGGGCAGCGGTGCGTCCACAAAGCGCAGCGAGACGCCGCCGCTGCCGCTGGCATCGATGCTGGGCGGGATTATGACAGCTGCTGCTGCAACTGTTGCTGGCGGGTTATTGCTGGTGCTGCTGACTGCAGCTGCAATTGTTGTTGCAGTAGCTGTCGAGGTGCGCGCTGGCGACTGTGCCGCACTAAGCCGACTGAGCACTACGGTGCTGGGCTTGATCTTGAGCTGCGACCAGGCGAGCTTGGCCAGACTGAGCGGATTCTTTGAGTTGGCCATGTCGCACATGAGCTCCGGCAGGCTAAGCGACTTTGAGTTGGAGCGAAAGTATTTCCGGCTGGGCGATGAGGCCGGACTGATTGTCGCACTGCTGTTCGCGTCCTGGCAATAGGTGCTATTGTGGTGCTTCAGCTCGTCCGCGCTGCGGAACTCATTGGCGCAGATGGGGCAGGAGTAGACGGCATCGTCGCCCTCGCCAATGGGCACGGCCAGGCCGCGCGCATTCAGCAACAGATTCTTGATAATTGAATTGTTTGGCGCCGGCGCAGCTGCTGTTGCTGTGCTCTTCGGCACGGCAGCAACAGTTGTTGCTGCTGCTGCTGTTGTTGCTGCTGCTGTTGTTGCTGCTGGTTTTGTGGGTATGGCTAGCTTCGTTTTGGCGGACAGATTAAGCGGCTGGGCGTGATTGAGCTGCTGCTGCTGCTGCTCCAGCTTGGGCACGGGCGTTGCCGGATCCTGACGATATTGCAACGTTTGCAGTGGCAACGGCGACGGCGGCGGCGGCAATTGTTGCAGCTTCACATTCGCCGTGGGCGTTGCTGGCAGCGTGGGAGTGGCTTTAATTCCTGGATAGGCGCTGCCGCTGCCGCTGCTGCTGCTGCTGCGCTTCAGCAGTCCATTGACACTCTCCAGCTGCAACAGTTGCTGCTGTTGCATGTACATTTGGTATTGTTGCTGCTGTTGCAGCTGTTGTTGCAGCTGCTGCTGCTGCTGTTGCTGTTGCTGCTGTTGCTGCTTGAGCACTATGGCCTGCGCCAGATTCACCTTCGTCTCGCCCAGCTGCTGACTGTTGTTGCCTGTCTGATTGCTGTTGCTGTTGGCCGCCTGATTGCTGCTGCTGTTGTTGTTGCTGGCGCTGCTGTTGTTGTTGTTGTTGCTCGCATTATTAAAGCTGCGCGAACGACTCAGCTGCTTGGGATACTTCTTCTGCAGCAGTATCTCCTTGTTTTCGACTATGGCCTCGTTCTGTGAGATCAGCTTCGAGATGTGCTCCTGCACCTTTTCCACATTCTAAAAAATAGGCCACAATAAAAGCAGATTAAGGCATTTTTTGGGCATATGCAATTTAGATTTACGCACCACTTGCATGCCGCCGCTGCCGCTGGCAAAGCTGCCCAGATTGGCTGTGGGCGTGGGCGTGGGCGTGGCTGGCGCTGCTGTTGTCGCTACAATGGCAGCCGCCTGCTGACTACTGGAGCGCACCAGCTGGATGAGAGAGAAGGGATGAGAGGGGCTTGTTAAACAGGTGAAACTCATGGAAAAACTCTTGATAAGCTCACCTGCTGCTGCTGCTGCGGAGGCGGCGGCGGCGTCTGCTGTGGCTGTTGCTGCTGCTGCTGGGGCGCCTTCAGCAGCGGCGAGTGTTGCTGCTGCTGGTGCTGCTGCTGTTGATGGTGTTGCTGCTGCTGCTGCTGGAACTGTTGATGTTGGTGCTGCTGCAGCTGAAAGTGCTGCTGGAACTGCAGGGCGAGCGTATGCTGATGTATTGCAGCTGCAGTCGGATTATAATACTGCGGCTGTCCCATATAATAGACGCCCGAGGGCAGCGGCGGCGGCGGCACCAGCGCGGGCAGCACAACGGGATTAGCAGGATTTGCGGCAGCCATCAGCAGCGATTGCTGCTGCTGTTGTTGATGTTGCTGCTGTTGCTGCTGTTGTTGCTGCTGCTGAAGCTGTCGCTGCAGCTGCACCTGATGCGAGTTGATGTGATTGTTGAGCTTCAGCTGAGTGCTCAGCGAGAGCGTGGGATGCACCAGCGTTGGCTGCGGCGCCGGCAGCTTCTGTTGTTGCTGCTGTTGTTGCTGCTGCTCTTTGCTGCTGCCGGGCGCATAGAGCGCTGCATTGTGAAACTTGGGCTTGTACGGCTTGTAGTCAATCGACTGGCGATGCTGCGCCGTCGCCGAGTGCAGCGTGTCGGCTGTGGCGGGCGGCAGTGTTCCAGCGGCGGGCGAGCCCAGCGGCAACTGTTGCATGTGCTGCGGCAGCGGCGGCTGTTGCAAGTACGCGCTCTTTGCGGCGGACAGCGTGGATGGCGAAGGCGTCGGCGAGGCCATGGGCTCATCATATGGCGAATCCGCGCGGCTCAGCTGCAAAGAGCAGATTATTATCAATTTATCTATGTTAAACAACTTATATAAAATAGAGCTCTGTTAAGCTAACAGCTTTCTAACTAACATGCTGTTAATTAATATATTAAACTTGGCTTTCATGCTGTTACTTAACATAGCAACCCAAATATGATTTTAACTTAGCTTTCAGCTCCTCATTTACCCAAGAAGAGCTCTCTAACTAACATACTGTTAATTAACATAGCATCCCAATTAACATTTCTATTAGAACACTTACGACTTCGACGCTCAGCAGCTCGGAGCTACTGTTACTCAGCTCCCCGTCGCCATCCTGATCGGAGAGTCCATCCGCCTCGTGGGCGGGCACATCGAAGCCGCGCATGCGCGCCGCATGGGAACGGGAACGGCAGTGCTTGTAGAGATTGCTCTTCGTTTTGAAGGCAATGCCGCAGGTCTCGCACGGATACGGCCGCTCATTGGTGTGGGCACGTATGTGCTTCTGCAGCACCGAGGGTTTTGCACAGTTCAGATTGCAATACGGGCAAACATAACGACCCATTTTCTCGGCCAGACCAGTTGCTGTTGCTGCTGTTGAAGGTGTGGCAGTTGCTGCTGTTGTGGCTGTTGTTGCTGTTGTTGTTGGTTGCGTCTGTTGTTGATGCTGTGCGAATGTTGCTGGCGACAGTGTCGCATTGCTGGCATAGTTGCTGTTGTTGCTGATGTTGCTGCTGTTGCTGAGCGGTGTCCGTGTTCTGGGCGCACCGGCAACAGCAATATTTTTACTGCTGCTGCTGTTGCTGTTGTTGTTGTTGTGGTTGTTGTTGCTCTCCTCATGGCTGTTGTTGTTGTTGTTGGCATTTACGAAATTGGCACTGAATTCATTGCTGGCCGGCAGCAAAGGCCCCGCCTGCTGCTGCTGCGACGACTGTTGCTGCTGCTGCTGCTGCTGCTGCTGCTGTGTCACATGTCCATTGTAGAGCGGCGGCGGCGGCGACAACGAGCTGTTGGATGAGAGCGATGTGGTGCGCACCGCATCGCCCGTTTCCGGTTCGGTGGTGCTGGCCAGACGCTTAAACTTTTTGTGCAAATAGCGCAAATTGTTTGAAGTTTTCCAGTCGCCAGCTGCTGCTGCTGCTGCTGCTGTTGCTGCTGTGGCCGCATCATCGCTGCTGCTGTTGTTGTTGTTGTTGTTGTTGCTGCTGCTGATGTTGCTGCTGCTGATGTTGCTGTTGTTGGTTGTTGTGGCCACGCTCGTTGCGCTGCTTGCCACATGCTGTAGCGTCATTTTGCTATCACTTACATTCGCTTTATCTCTAGCCTTAAACTCATAATTATTCTCACTAATACTATTATCACTGTGGTGGTTGTTGTTGTTGTTGTTGTTGCTGCTGTTGCTGCTGCTGCTGCTGTCGGCGAATTTAGCTGGCAACTCGCTTAGTTTATTATCTCGCGTGCTCTTGTTGTCAATTGCTGCTGCTGTTGCTGCTGCTGTTGCTGCTGCTGTTGCTGCTGTTGTTGTTGTTGTTGTTGTTGTTGCTGCTGTTGCTTTGCTGTTAAGTTTGTTGATGTTTGATTTGAGTGTTGCAGTTGTTGTTGTTGCTGCTGTGGCAGCAACTATGCTGCTGCTGCGATATGTTTGCTTCTTAGTTGTTGCCGCTGCTGCTGCTGCTGCGGCCGCTGCTGCTGCTGTTGCACGTCGCGTGCTGCTCACTTTGTTGTTGTTGCTATTGTTGTTGTTGTTGTTGTTGTTGTTTTTGTATTGTTTGCTCGCTGTCTTGTAATGTTTCGCTGTATTTGTTGCTGTTGCCGCTGTTGTTGTTGTTGTTGTTGCACTTTCCATAGTATCATCAAATTTGCTCGCCTGCGATGTGTTGGCCGCGGGCTCATCTGAAAGAAATACAAATCAAATTTAATTTCAAGTAAAGCTAAAATATAAAATTGCTAGTTTGTGCAGTTGTGTGATTGATTGATTGATTCATTAACTGATTGACTTATCGTACAGCTCAAATCGTTGCTGTACTGTTATTAACAGTATGTTAACTTTGGCTGCTGTTATATAAGCATTAACAGTAGAGTAACATTAACAGCAGAGCGAGATAACATTTTGACTTGATTGACTCCCAAAATGATTGATGATCAACACACAACCCAAACCATAAGAGCTAGGCTGCTGAATTTTTGACAGAGTTGTCTTTATGATGTATCGATTATCGATTTTTGAAGTGAGGTAAATTGACGGCACATTTAAATATATAAAGCACCTAGCAGGCAGCTACTTTCTGAAACCAAATGTCCTGGTCTTGACTACTCACTGTAAAATATTAATGTGCATGCATTGAAGCTGACCACACGCCGCACTAATACACATTAACAATTACTAATTGAACGCTAAATCTTATCAGAGCGCAGCCTGTGCTGATAAAAGCGTTTGGGCAAAGTTTGCGACTGGTTAAAATGCAAAAAATATGCTTAAATGTTTGAGAAATATGCTCGATATTTGTATAAAATATGATATTAACAAGTCTTAAGCGATAAATAAACATTTTATCAACTTTCTATTTCGCATGCCCCCTGCCTTAGTCAGCGCAAAACTCACCTGTTGCGGCAGCAAAGCAGAAAATGAAAACCACAACGAAAACCATCCCAAAATAAAAACAACAACAACAACAACATGAGCGAAAATAAGCGAAGTGAAGTGCGCTGATTGTTGTTGGGTGTCGCCCTATCAGTTCTATATATACCCTACACACGCACACACATACACACACACACACACACACACACATATATATATGTATACTCTATATGAATAATTAGTAAATCGAGTCGCGACTCGCGCGTTAATTGACTTTTAGCTATAGTCTCGACTCATAGTATATATGTATGTATATATATTTTAGTTCAACTTGTGTTTAGTTGTCTTTATCAACCAGTTTATAAATAAAAAAAATAAATAATAATACAAAAATTGCCCAAAAATTCCATTGATAATGCCCGGTTGTTCTTATCACCTCTTTTCCATTGTTGTTGTTGCTGTTGTTGTTGTCGCTTACGCTGTGGATTCACCTGCGTCGCATTACTCACACATTCAGACAAACTGCCCGATAGCTGGCACTTGTAAAATAAATATCTGGTCCTGCCGCCGCCGCCGCCCCCTTTAGCCAACACGTAGACGCAGAGTCGACGTCTTTGACGTCAGCTGTCGTAGGCAATTAAACCGTTTTTAATGTCATACGGAAGAGATTAGTGGTATCGTTTGAGATGTACTCGCTACTCACGCTGTGGCGCCGTTAAAGCATCGAGTAAACATCAATTACATAACCTCACAGAACAGCATTCACAATTGCCGGCCGTCAAACGGTCGCCCGCCCGCCTACTGTGACTGTCTGTAAATTTGTGTGGCGCCAAAAGGAAGTTTCCACAAGTGCGAGCATATATTAAAGGGAATTTCTGCATTGCAAACAATCTAAGCACATAAATATATACTCAAATACTTAATGTATGTATGTATGTGTGTGTGTGTGTGAATGGGAAGCTTGTTGTGCTTGATTATCATATTACAGTTATGCAATATGTGTAAATATATGAATAATTGACGATTAATAGCTCAAATAAAGTATTTTTCATAGAATTTCAATACACTTTAATAGTAAATACACAAACAAAGAGTTCAGCGATAAGCGTAATCAACGAAAAAAAAATAAAAAATACTTGAGAGCCTCACACAAGTTTTAGTTTTAGTTTCTATATTTACTTTAAAAGAAAACAGCAAAAATAAATAACAAATATTTAAATAACTTTACTATCACGACTTTGACTTTATTTACCGATTCGTAGTCGTTGTTGGTTTTTATTATTAGGAATTTAGCTTTAAAGTTTAGGTTGTCTAGATGGACGCACATACACAGCGCATATGGCGATTAAATATATATATTTAGATATATAATACGTATTTGCATGTGCAATTGCCTCTGCTGCTGTCGTATTTCCTTAAGCACTTCGTGTTCCAAAGTGCAATTCGTAAGTAAATAGCGGATTATCAAGTGGAAAGAATACGCCTGGTCACACTCTGATGATAGGCTGAACGACGCGAAACAAGGCGGCCGCACGTCATACGAGATCTCTTTTGCATGCACTCCCTGATTGACAACCTCTCACTCACGCGCGCCCCCTTAAAACGCACACACACACACACAAACACAAGAGCGCGCGCGGTGCCACCCACATGACATAGTGTGCAATAAGTACAAGGTACGCTCAATACGGCGCCACAGTCTGTCTGTCTGCTTAATAATTGCAGTAGTACGTCATTTGCAGCTGCAAACATCGTGTACGAAAATAAAAAAAAGTACAACCCGAGCTTGGCCATTTGCCACTTAACAGTGCTCAATAATTTATTAGCGGCCCACATGTGTACTCGCAGCAATGTACTCAGTACTCAATGTATGTAAATACTCGGCGCGAATCGTGGCGGTTAAAAGACGTAAAATTCGCGGAAATGATACGGAATTCCGATGAAGCCCGAATGTCTGATAAAAAAAGAAGGCGAAGAAAGGAAATGACAACTAAAGCACAGCAATGAGCACACACGCACGCACGCACAAACAAACACAAGTAACTTGCATTGAATATGAATAGTGCAATATCGCGAAACTCGTCGTACCTGTGACTCAGTCGCGCTCTCTTGCTCTTGCACTTTTTGCTCGCGCTCTAATTGGCAAAATCTCGATAGTCACAATTATCGATAAGTATGGCAACAATATCAGTTTAGGTGTCAAAGAATTGGGAATTAAAATCAAAAATATGACAACAAAAATGCGTTAAGGCGCTCGCGACAACGAACCAGCGACCAGCAAGCATGAAACAGTTAAAGACAACTAGACGAAGCAAGCTGAAAAATTCATTCAAAGAGCAGTGCCCAAGTGGCAAAAGCAACAGCGGCAGCTACAACAACGCCAACAACAACAAAAACCAGACAAATCACTGTGTGTGCGAGAGTGTGCAAAAGAAAACGAAGAAGCGACGCAACGCGACGCGACTAACTGGCGAAAGAGCAGCGAGAAAACAAAAGCACACACACACACACACACACACACAAACACACACATGCAAGACTCGAAAGCCCAAAGACAGGCAGCAGCGTGTAGAAATGAGTAAAAACCGTACAATAATCAAAAAATTGAGCGCGCCAGGAAAAGGCACAGCCAGCAAAGCAGAAGCAGAGAGGGGGAGAGCGACAGCAAAACGTCAACGTCGCCGCATACCGCAATATTCGCGCACTCGCCGCCGTCCGCCCCGCACACTGTTGCAATTGTCAATCAAAAGTAAGCACAGGGTCGCCTGACGCTGCCGCCGCCGCCGCCGTCGTTGCTGTTGAGAAAATGATCAAATCAAGCAAAAACGTAGCCCCCAACAACAACAACAAAAACAGGTGACGTGAAGTGGGGGAACACAACACGACGGCTGTCGCCAGCCTGTACCCGCGCTATTGTTGATTACGTACACACAAACACACACCCATGAAAACATGCATAAACACGCGCACGCACACACTCACAAACCCCCAGCAATAAATGTGTACATATGCGAATTTTTGCTGACTAAGGAAGGTCTGGGGAGCACCAGCAGCAGCAGCAGCAGCAGCAACGATAACAACAAAAGCATTTAAAACGTAGAAGCACAGCACAAAACGTAGCAGTGAAAAAAAAGTGATAATAAAATAATAATTGCTACACACGCATACATTTGTATGTACATGTGTATGTATGTATGTGCGATGTGATGCGATCGGCTGAGAGCGGGAGCGCCAAATGCCTAGAGTTGCCGCAGCTGTCTACACACGAACGAAAGAGGCTCTTCTCTTTGCACGCCAAGCCATTACACACGAGTGGAGCACGAGCAACCATGTGGCGACGTATGCATGTGAGTATTTAGCCTGTTTTCAATACTAGCCCCCCACAAATACAACTGCATGCAGTATTGTATGTGTGCGTGTGTGCACACAAGCAACATGACTAATCCAAACAACTTGACAACACTGTCGCCGACGCCGCGCCGCCGAAGCCGCTGGCGTCGCTGTGGCCGCGCGCTGACGCTGACGCTGCCTGTGCGCTTTGCTTTTGTGTATTATATTGAGTCAATTCACAAGAAACGAGGAAACCCGCCATCGTTGTCGTTGTTGTTGTTGCTGTTGTTGCTTGAATTTGTTTATATTTTTGTGCGAGAGTGTGTGGGCATGTGTGCGCTTCTGTGGTGTTTGTGCAAGTGTGCGTGTGTGTGTGTGTGTGTGTGTGTCTGTGTGTCAGTCAGGCTGTTGTGTGTAGCATGAATCAAGCTGAAAAATTTTAATAATTTTGCTCGTTTTGTTGTTGCCGGACTGCAAACGGGTTTAGCTTGTTGAATGTGCGCCTGTGTATATATATGTGTGTGTGTGTTTCTATGTTTGTGTGTGTTAGTGAGTGAGTTCATTGCTGGGCCTGGTCTGGCTGGGGCCTGCTACTTGTTTTCAGCGACACAGACGATAATATGATGACACCAATACAAATGCAAGTGGCCACTTGGAGCTTTCTAGAGCGCTTGATAAGCAATTTTCTGTTGTTGTTGCTGTTATTTTTTTTTTGCTCACTCTCTTCTGCTGCCTGCTGTTAGTCGCTGCGTCTCTGTCTCTGCCTGCCATTCGATGTGCTCTATGACGTACGCGCTGTTGTTGTTATTGTTGTTGTTGTTGCCGAGTCCCCCACCCGGCAACACTTGAGCGTTTGTCGGAAATCAAATTAATGCGATTAAGCAGCGCTAACGATCGTCGCTCTTCTTCATCGTTGCTTCCTCTTGCATTTACCACAAAAGGCAAAGGAATTACATGTGTATGCGTGTAGTTATGTACACAC